CAAACAAAGCAGTGCGACCAGAAGCATGGGCAGGAAAGCTAGGGAATGGCTGGGGAATTGGCCAGGGACTGGACTGCATAATCTGAGAGGCAGTCCTGTATTGCAGCCCCTCTCTGGTGTAACACCAAAAAGTTTTCCCTCTTCACCAGATGAACTGGTGGCAGCTTGGTCCCAGGCTGCTGGGTGCGGGCATTGGCTGGCCCCTGAGATTGTGAAGGCAGGAAGGAGACTGGTCAGTGGAACCGGGCACCCCTCCAAGAAGACAGGGATTTCTAGGAGGATTTCTAGGTGGTTGCAACAAGAAGGGAGCAGAATGTGATGTGCTCCAGGGGGACTGTGGCAGCAGCCCTTCTGCTCAGGTTAGCATCATCTTCTAAAACGAACATGCCCATTACCAGAGAACATTTGGCCACCCCCCTCCACCCACAGAGCTTCCTCAGCAGACAGTTCTCAGACACCCTCGAACTAATTGACTTCAGAGGTTGTCATGGGGTCAGTGGGCCGTGGAGTAGCTAAGAGGGGAACAGGAGAGGTGGCTTCAATTAGGGCTGGGTTGAGAATGATTGGAAGAGTCATAGGTGGCACCCCAACCTGCAGGGGGGAGGCAAGAGGCTGCAGGATGAGTGGCGGCTGTGCTGTCGTAGGAGGTACATCTGTAACGGGGCTTGTCTTTGTTGGAGCTGATACTGGGAAAGAAGGAGAGGCAGAGGTGCTGATGGTGGGTGAGGCAGGTGCAGTGGCTCTCTCAGACTCTGGAAAAAGGAAGAGACAAGATACATCCTTACACAGGCCCTGACAAAGTCACCTTTCAGCTCAATGCTAAGCAGGGCTGAAGATCAACTCAGGGGCCTTTTCAGACTTGCCCCTTCCACATACCTTCATATAAGGCCCTGAGGAGCAGGTGCCGATCACAGGCATTCTGTCCCAACCTCTGCCCCCCGCCCCAAGAACCTCAGCAAGAAGGCCACAACCTATCCATTTGGAAGCACAAACACCAGAGGCCTGGTCACTGTAGATCATGCTAAACCAAGGGAAACAGATCCATGCCACTGTGTTGGGAAGATGATGCCAGAAAGAAGAAAATGCGACTCACCAGTGGCACCCAGTTCACAGGGCTTCTCCAAAGGAGCCAGGTGGGTGGCTGGTCTCACATCTCCCACAGGAGAAGGGGGCAAGGCAGACACTACTGATTTCTGATGCTGCTGCTCCATTGGTATGCTGGGGACAGGATCTAGGAAAACAAAACAAGCAGTGAGCCCACACACCAGTTTGCTCAGTCCTTTTGCCCATCCTCAGTTTGCCTTCCTTGTGCCAAGCTCCCACAGCCTCCTGCAACTATCATTTCATCAACACCCAGGCACTATGGCAGCTGGGTACTGGACAAAGTGCAAGGACTGGGTCCAAGACCTGTTTTTCTTAAGGTTTCTCAGCCCCTTGTACCTTGGATGACTGTCTGTTTGAAGAGCTCATCTCGCAGCCTAGGTAAGAAACAGTCAATCCGCTCCCAGGTGATCTCCCAGAGATCCGAGTATCCTGTCCGTGAGTCAGCACTGTGGAATATCCCAGCCGTATCCATTACAAGCAGCATATTTTTCAGAGACTCTGGGATGGCCTCCAGCTGTAATCAGAGACACTCCTCAGGACACAGGGAATGGACATACAGCAATGAACCCAAGTGCAAAGCAGCTGATGGGCTGCCTTGGAAAAGAGGCCAAGGGGAGAGACCATGGAACAAAATGGTTTTGGAAGGATTAAAAGGTTAAAAAAAAAAACCCCAAAAAACCCAACCAAAAAACACCACAAACCCAAAACACCTTTCAAGTTTAGAAGGTTAAAACGAATGAATGGTTGTTCAAAACACTGCAGCATCACTTTCAGCACCTTACCAGTAAGTCACTGGAGCCAGCATACATGTATTTGTCCATAAAGTCCAGGATTGTCAGCCACAGGGCAGCAAAGGTGGTCAACGAGAGCAGCGGGGAGAGATGCTGTAGGAAGACCTAGAAAAAACCCCACAGCTACTGTCAACAAGTAGTATCAGGGCTGCTGCTCACTGCTTGACAAGCCAGTCTTGCAAATCTGGAATTCCCCCTCCTTGTGGCAGGCTAGGAGCACGCACAGGCCCAGCCTGAGGATGTCAGAGGCCTCCACTCTTCTGAGCTGCACATGCAGAGGAGTGGATCTTGTCTCCCTTGCATGAGGCCACTGCAGTCTGCATCACCGTGTCTTCCAGCCCTTCCAGACTCTCTGCCTTAGGTCAGTACTGTCAGCTTGTAACATGCATCATTTCACCACTAGAACAGAGTGTCTTCAACTAATGTCGCATGAAATACTTCTCTCTCCGTCCTTCATAAAGTCACAAACTCCTCCCTGACAACTTTTCCAGAGACCAGGATCATGGAGACAGTTCTGGAAAGAAGGCATGTCCCAACAGCAGAAGGTTGTGGAGAAGCCCAGCACTGAAGACAGTCAAACTAGCAAACTGACACCTATCCAGATCAGAGATGCTGAGAAGCTAATACAGCAAACAGCTTGGTTTTCCTGGGGCACATGGTTTCCCCTGAGGTTTCAGGCAGCAGAAAGCATGCTCACCTTGGAGAGTAGTGTTGAGGCTCTCATCCTAGTTTCTTCCATTCCACCAACATCAGCTGGGCTGATGTTCTCAAGTAGCTTGGTTAGCAGAGGGAACAGCACCTGTTGGATTGGACACATTGATATTTCAGAGCTGAAAAATGACTGATGAGATTTGCATAGACAACCTTACAGGAAAGAGCTAGCTTTTGGGACTGCTGGCTTCTAGGCAGAGAGCATGGGAGAAGCAATGGGAAATGGAATAAGTGGATTCATTTCAATACTCCAGGAGGCTCTGTCAGAAGCCTAAGTGGAGAGGAACTTTTCACAGGAGCAGAGTAGAGAATGCCTTGTCTGTTGTGGTGAACAAGCTGCTCAAGAAAATGGTGCTGAAGTAGGACATCATTCTGCCACTCCCACACACAGCTTTGTTCTTCATGACAATGCTGTCCTGCCTACATGCCCAGCCCAGCCAGGAGGTTACCTTGTTGAAGCAGGACTCCCATTCCAGGGCATCCAGGGCCTGCAGGTCATGTACCAGGAGGGCCCGCTGCAAGTAAGTGAGTGCCTGCATCCGTACCTGGCGTCGGGCATCACAGCACAGCCAGGCAATACCTGCAAGAGAGGGATTCAGGGCAAAGTCCACAGGGGAAGTGTCACATCCCTACTTCCCCAGTCTAGGGTGAAAAGTCTAAAGAAGATCAAACACTCTCTGGGGGAAAAAAGAAAAAAAAAAAAAAAAAAAAAAAGGATTATACTTGTTCCAAGCCTCAGACTGGGAATCTACTGTCAGGTCCAGAAGCAAGCTGGCAGCTAACTCATGCTAAAGATACCTTTCCAGATCTGATCCAAGTTCTTTTTCAATTACAGCAGACCCTAAAAACAACCTGTGCCTGCTTTCTGCAGTTAGTTCTTGGCTCCTCAACTTTCCTGAGTGCTGCCATTATTTTGGAAGTGTCTCTGCTCGCTCTCATCACAAGGGGATGGCTTTACCCTGTAGCAAAGGACACCAGCAGTTGGACCACAGCGTTCGGGAATCGGCTTCGATTTTCCTCCCTGCTGTCTCTAGATGGCGTTGCTCCTCTGCCCAGGAGCTGTAGATGGTGGCCGCTCGTGTGTGCAAGGTGTGCATGAGGTCCAGGAGCTGCAAGTCAAGCATCACATTAAGCAACACACAGGACTTAAATTTTTGAAGCAACCCTAGTCTCTGCTCTTCCCCATACCAATGCTAAAAGGCTCACAGCTACTCAAGTCTGCTTCCTGTATGTACATAACTATGTATAGCTATGGAGATGGTGTCAGGCCCTGCTGTCTGTGCTCTCCCCAAGTCGTCAAGTGCCAGGCATCTTTCAGCAAGATCTGTATCAGTTCAGTAGCCCTGTCAATCCCATCTTCGAGGAACAGCATCCCAGTTGCGCCAGGAGAAAGAATGGAGCCTTTCCTGACACAGAGCATTGACTCTCCCAGGCAGAGGGAGAAACCCAGTGATTCAGCTATGCTGTCCAGGGACAACTCTCTCTAACTTTTTTTTTTAAAAAAAAAAAAAAAAAACCACGAAGCACAAGCAAAGCTCCCTCAGAACAGCTCTGCGTGGGCAAGTGACAGCATTCTAGTCACTTTACTACTGAACTGAGGCCTAATAGCCTGGCAGTCAGCAGGCCTGTACCTTCATACCTTTGGAGTACCAGCTGAAGAAATGACTCCCTCATCCCAGTCCTCTGTGCTTGAAATCCCAGTGCCTCAGCTCACAGGGCTTTCCCCTCTCCACAAGCTCAGATGCCCTGTCAGACTCCCCACTAATCCTACATGAACCTAATGCCTCCAAATACCCTTGGATCCACATCCATCTCACTTACTATAGTGACTCACAGCTCCAGAACCCACCCTCCTCGCTTTTCAGAGGACTTCTCTCTCCACTGCTATTCTGCTTTTGCCTGTCCAAATTGCAGTCTTCCTCTTTCACTGCAGAACCACACACTGCCACCAGAGCCAACCTCTGCCATCCAGCGCGCACTAACCCAGGATGCAGCCCCACCTCACCCCATGAAGAATCCCAGTGACTCCCTAGCAAGGCCCTGAGTATAGGAAAGGAAAGGAGGAAATCCTTGCTATACTTACGTCCTGACTAACCTGTAAAGACACAGTGTGGTAACTGGCAGGGATGCTTTCATCCTCATCCTCATCACTGTGTGTGTGCGCCTGGTGCTGGCTCAAGACCCGTGATCGCCGTGTAGAGCTCTCCTTTGGCTTTTTTTTTAACCGACTGGATTTACTGTCATACCTGTGGCTCTTCCCCCTCTTCTCCTGGGACTTGTAGCCTAGAAAGTGAAAGGCAGCAACATACCATAGACACTCTCCACCACAAAATTTTCTGCCTTTCAACACACACAGCAGCCACCTTTCGATACTCCCAGTGGAGGGCCCTGTCCTGTGAAATGACAACTACCTGCTTGAAGAGGTACCCAGCACCCCTCAGGAAAAGCCTTCAGCAACAGCCGATACTGCTACCTCCACATCAGCTCCAGACCTCCCCTCCATCCCAGAGAGAGGGATAAGAATAAGGTCCCTGCTGCCAGCAGGAGCCAGGACACTTTTCTCTCAGAGCAGACCATTTTCTGGGAGCTTGGGACTTGTTCCCTGATAGTATACTTCACACTTCTTGCTGATGGCCACCCCAAGCCCAGTCCCGACTGACAAACCAAGGGCCATCTTACCCCCATTCAAGCTTGCCTCCACAAAGATGCGGATGGTTTTGACACAGAGCTCGAAGTTCTCAGGTGTAACGTGGGCAGCATCTCGCACGATGAAGGACAGGGACTCTACGCACTTCATGAGAGACTTTGTGTCATGTGGGCCCAAATCCAGCCCCACAGTCAGGCTGTACTGGTTGACAAGAGGAGATGGCCCCAGCCTGCTGAGCCCAGCAGTGGATCTGGAGGTGTCAATGTCATCCTTCCCCACCTGCAGGGCACAGCAAGAGGGTAGCAGGATAGCGTAGCATAACAAGCAGCACTTCACAAACATGCTGAAAGGGCCTTTCTTCTGAAGCCAACAAGTAACGTTTCTGTAGAATCCATTTCCCGTTCTTCCTCATTTGCCTCCAAGCTTTCTGCTCTCCATCTGCATCTCCTCCCCATCCTCCCTTTACTTTGTCAGCTCTCTTTTCTACTGCCTTATTCTTTCTCCTCAATTCTTTTTCCTCAATCCCGTCAGTGGCAGCAAGGAATGCTGAAAG